CATCTTTCTGGGGAAAGAACTTGGTGATATCTCCAAGTAAAGAAGAGGATAATAGTACAGTTTTTGGTGCCATGGATTCAGATTGGTAAGGAAATTATAGAAAACCTGCTTGTGTCTGTGTGGCTATTAAAAGTTATTAACTATTGTTAATTTGCAGGTCATCGGTAACCTGTTTAGCGTTAGAGATAGACGAAGAGAAAACAGAAGATATTACTTTTCAGATAAAGTCTCATACATGCATTTTGGACTTGCAGATTTCTTTTATGAGCTTTTCCATTTGGCTATGCCAAATAGGCAAAAATTCATAAAAGGTGTAGATATGAACTCAAAATCTAATTCTAAATGGGTTGACGACAAGCTGGTGGATGTTAATGTTCTGTTTAGTTATGTTTTTAACATCTGGCTTTCTTTGATGTCCCCTGTTCACTTCTTTCTCTTTTGTAATTTCTCCCACACGTTTTCCAAGGGTGTGGCGTTTGGATCGGATGGTGGCGTATAACAGCAGAGATGTGGTTCACCAGCTGAACAGAAGCCTGGAAGAAGCCTCCTCCTCCTTAAAGCAGCTGCAACAGCTGCACTGGCTCGACTCTAGGTAGTGATCATGTGAAGACATGACTACAGCAGTAGGACATGTAAAGTCTGAGTTACAGCAAAATAATTAAAACACATTTTCCTTTGTATTGTTCAGGACAGCACAGTGTTTTGCATTTTTTAAACATGTACTCACACCAGTGGCTGTGGACTGAGCTGAGCCAGTTTGACCTGCAAAGTCCAGTTGGTTCAGTCCAGTAAACAGTTAAACATGCCATATTCTGGCCCACGTGGAGTTCAGTTGGATGTTGGCATGCTGCACATCTGGTGTGTATGCTAACCTTGCTCAAGAACAAAAACAAATGCTTTCTGGTCCAGCGGAGTGTGAGATCATCTGGCCAGTGAGGGAGTGAGAATATGACCTGAAAGAGGTCATGCTCATTGATTTCATTGACCAGGTTGTTCCAAAATTTATGGGCAATTTGCGAGGGAGTAGAAACTGGGTACATGTTATTGTGCTAATAATTTCACAATGTTTGGAATCAAACACAACTGTGGCCTTGGCTTTAGAAATCTTGAGCGGAGGTTTACTGTCAGTTCATGAGCTGTTTTCTTAATTTGCTCCAAAGCCTGCAGTAATTAAAGCACTGCACAATCAGTAAAACATGAAACATCAAAATAAGACACAGAAAACAATCCAGTGCTGAATGCACTGAGAATGTTGGCTAACATTTAACAACTGTTTCTAAGAATGATAACTTGTGGTATAAACAACTCTTTAATCCCAGCACATTTTGTGTTAGAGTACAGATATACACAGGGGAGAAAGGCAGTAAAATTGCGTCAAATCATTTTTGTTTGTACCCTTTATTTCTCATTTGAAATAAAACTTCCTGCCATAAATAAAATACAAGAGCAGTCTACATACCTCCTCCAACAAAAATCCCTTCAACATGCATGATTTCAGGCCCTGGTTCTGGTCTACTTTGATATATTGATGATAATTTCTCAAAGACATTAAAATGTCCCTAAGCACTCACGCTTGGAAAACAAATCCTTCCAAAAAAGTTATGGTCCCAGATCAATTCCAGAAGTTAATCACTTCTAAGTTGGGCCAAGACCCACATCTGGAAGAATTTTCATGTAAATCTGTCAATAATTGTTAGTGTCATTCTTCTAACAAACTAAACCTATAACATAATCAGCTCAATAAAGTATCAAAGTATCAAAACAGATACCTGACCAAAACTATGTGAAATATTTTGATTCCTGGTTAGAGCCCGATATATCAGTGGGGCCAGTAAATCAGAAATTTAAATGGCCAAATATTGGAATCAGCTTAAATGTGGGCTCCTGATCTTATCATGTGCACTAACTGTGTGTTTTGTTGTGTTCCTGTTCATAGGACTCGCGCCGTGTTTGTGGAGTTCTCTCTCTACAACGTAAACACAAACCTGCTGGCCGTCTTTTCCTTCCTGTTTGAGTTCCCAGTCTCTGAGCGTGCCCAGTCCAGCTTTGACCTCATTGTCATCACATTGTGGCCAATCACAGGGCTGGACCTGCAGCTTCTTCTAATGGTAAACGTTCCCATAACCATGAATCCTTGAACTACAGCTGTTTCGTTTTCCCTTTAGTATCATTTTTAAAATGGCACTTTGTGGTTCCAGATCATCCTCCTCGCCTTGGTGTTGTATTTCCTCGTTCGGGGCATATTGGGCTTCCTCAGAGAAGGCTATAGGTACCTGCTGTCAGCCTGGAGACTCCTGGGTATCTGTAAACTGTCTCTAGCAGCGTCTGTATTCGGAATACACCTGAGCCGCTGCATAATAGCTAAACAGCAATGGACATCATACCTGAAGCACCGTCAGGATACCTTCACAGATTTCTACCCCCTGGCCAGACAGACTGAGATGTACACCGTCATGTCTGCCTTGCTGTTGTTCATACTGGTACTCAAGGTAAGAAAGAAAGAGAGGAATCCAGGGTTATTTTACAGAAATATGTTGCATGTTGTTTATGACATTTTTGCTTGTATAACGATCTGGGAATGCCGTGAAGAGGAAAGATAAACATTATTCACGATTTAGAAAACAATTGTAATGATTTTGACTTCTTATTATTGACAACAAATCCAATCTAAGACCAAAAACCAGTAATGAAATGAATCTAATATCAATAATTGTCTGTGGAATTAATTATCACTATCGCTGTAGCGCTCCTTTGTTATCTCTGAAATAATTAAAATCAGCATCAGTGTGGTTAAGTTGCTCTGGCTGACAGAGTCATTCTCGCAGACACAATGCTGCTGTTGTAAATCTTCACTAATCAACTAAATTTGTGTTAATTCACAGCTAAAATAGTCCCAAACAAGCACACTGTTGATTATTAAAGATGAAGCGATGTTTGTTGAAAGCTGCAGAGCTCAGTTATTTCAGGAAAATATAGAGCGTATACATTTAACATTTGCGACGTCTTCATTACCAATCAAGGAGGTGATCTGAGCCAAACTGGTAAACTGTGTTACAGAGATCGAGGCCATTGTAGGTAAAGTTTTGTTTTTAAATGAGAAAAAATAAATAAATTTCTGCTCATAAATCTAACCAAAATAAAATAACCTATAATGGAAATGCAGGAAATGTCTTAGTGTGTTTTAACCTCTGACAGTTTGTTCAGATTTATCAGCACATGTAACTTAAAGCCCGTTTTATACTCATTTGACAGTAGTGACATCACCGTCACCGGGGCGCACCACGATTTGGTGTCATTTTGGTTTCAGCTCTTGTTTTTGTGACGTGGTTTGCCAGAGTGAAGACATTTCATTGACGTGTCAGCAGACCTTTTCAGATTATCAAAAGTTTCTGAGAGACTGCAGAGAAGACGGCATTCCTTTAAGTAGCAGTGGCGAGGCTGTAGTGACATCACAACCAATGTGACGACCATAAACTAGGCTTATGAGAAGAACTGATGCTTAGGTTTGAGACTCTAACAAATGAACCCAGTATTATCCATCTTCTGCCGCTTATTCTTATCAGGGTTGGAGGGGGTGGAGCCTATCCCAGTGTCATAGGGCATATGGGCCTGGGATTGGCAACAGTCATAGGACGAGAGTTGGAGTACAGCCTGGATTAAAAAAAAATGTATCTAACTCAATTTTTCAATTGTTTTGTGTCAACAATAGTTTAAATAGTCTTTAAATGTATAATACAGTTCAAAGTGTGTGACAGATAAGATGCCTCACAAAGCGAATTAAGAAGGAACAAAAAGCATAACTAACAATATGCAATAATAAGCGTATTCTTTTGCCTTTTTTATTTTTAAAGAGGCAAAACATGAATGAACAAAATTGTTAAAGTAAACACAACTAAATGGAAGTAAGCAGAAGTAGTTAAGCTTAATTTTTGTTGTTGCTTTGTGATGGCTGCTTAAATCCATTCATTAGGTTGTTTTTGATTGGCAGTGATCAATGCAGCGGGCCACATTCATAAACACAACATATACACAAAACTGTGCTTAAACCACAAATCAAAGTTTTACATAAACCCAGAATCTGTATTTTCTTACAATACAAATGTAGAACTAACTCTGACCGTGTTTACGCTCTAAGAATGAGGCTGGCTTAGAAAATGTCAACATCTTTAAAAGAAATGCGTATTATTTCCAGTTTCCAGACTAAAAGAAACAAAAAGAGTGCTTATAGAACTGCATAAGTAAACAAAAAGCTTTTACATCAAATGTAAAGAAAACAAAATATTGTCTGATAAACTGTAGGCTGAAGCCTGAGCTCAATGTGGAAACACTTCTTATATAACATATTTTATTAGGAAGCTCTTTTTCTCCATATTTTATTAATTTGCTGGTCCTTTTGCATTCGCCCTTATTTTGTGAGAAAGGTACGACTGTTTCTACACACATATTATTATATTACAAACTCAAAATGGCTCCAAATGTGTTTGTGATAGAGAAACATTTGTGTCCTTTGGCTAAATTAGATTAAATTACAAGATAACTTTTTTTTTCCCAAACACATATTTTTGCTTTCTGTTTCCCTGCTCTTCCTCTCTCTGTGTCCTTGCTCATGCAGGCGTCCCACCAGTTGCGGTTTCTCCGTGAGTGGGCCGTATTTGGCAGAGCTCTGCGGCGCTCAGTCTGGGAGCTGCTGGGAGTTGCTCTGGCGTTACTGCTGTTGGTGCTGGCTTACTCACACACGGGACACCTGGTCAGTTTTTTCTCTTCTCTGTTCATTCTGTTTTCCTCTGGCTCAGCTTCTCCCCCGCACACACATGTGCGCACACCAAATAAACTGTAAATTCAGTCAACATTGACAAGGTTATGTGCTGAGACAAAGTGTGTCCGCCCACGAGGTTGTTCAGTTTACTTGTTTTTGGTCTGTTCACGTTCATTGTCATGGCTACAGTTCACTTTCTTTAGAGAATTTCAAATAAACCTGCTCTTTTGCACAGATTGCATAATACAGCTTTGCTTTTATCGTTACAGCATGAAAGCATCTGTGCTTCCTTGCTGCCAAACAGCTTTACTGAACGAGAACATTATGACAATAGCATTTATTCAATATTTGAATCATTTATTCAAACCAGCACGGAATAAATAATGACCTGCAGAATGTCTCTGCTGTGTAAATGGCACCGCTTCATCCAAGAGACTTTTAACTGTTCTTTATTTAGACATTATGTTCCCTTCAATTCTCTTTTTTTAGAGAGCCCTTCAGAACTGGAATATAATTGTGTTTCATGACATTTCCCGATGATAGAAGAGTAAGATGATTAATAATATTTAAGAAAAGAGCCAAAAACTATTAAGCTCTTTTGTGGATGAGCGACCGCACAGCTATACAAATTAACATCATTTACATCTACACTCTTGCCAAACAAACTTGCAACTACTGATGAAGTCTGTCAACATCAGGTAAATGCTTTGAACTTCACAGTTTAACAGTCTCTGGCCACATTCCTACTAGGTGTGCCAGTAGTTTTACATCAACCAGCAATCACTGCTTTGGCGGATGAGAAGAGGGCCACAGCAATACAAACAGACTAAGACAGTTCACAACAAGCCATCCAAGAGTATTTGTGTAATTACTCATGCTGCTAGAAGCATGGACTGTATAATAAAATATGTATATAAAAGATCAATTAGCTTAAGGGTCTGAAAAGTGAAGCCACTGCAGAAGTACCGTATGCCTACATTCTTCTTAATGAAGTCTGTGTTAAAATAACCGTTTGGCTCAAAAATGTGGTTGGATGTCATGGTATGACCATAGTTATTGAAAAGGTGTGCAGTTATCTTGCACTCTTGTTGCTTTTGAAAGAGTGACTTTGGGTACAGACCAGATCTGCGACCACTCACAGTTGGGTTCACAGGGCCTTTGGTGTGTCAAGAGTGTTAAAACAGCAGTAAGATGGAGTCGGTTTGCTATCAGTTTGTGTTTGATTGAGGTCATAATAATTACATGGAATCTGTTTGTGATGATGTGGCAGTTCACTGAATAGTACAAATCTGCCCCCAAAACATCACTGGCTGCCTTCTTCCACCCCTGGAGGCCATTGCCAGCTCCTCCTGCCCGGGGCCATCACAGGTGACCCCTTGCATCCCATCCGCTGCCCTCCGGTTGGCGCCTGAGGTCAATCAGGTGCCAGACCTCCAGACTCACAACCAGCTTCTTCCGCTGGGCCATTCGGACACACACGCACACACCCACCCTACCAATCTGAGCCATAGTCCGAGTAACCCTTATCACTCAGACTCGGCCTCTATTCACATCAAGTCGTTTGCACTACTTCTAAGCACTTTGGAACCCCTCCTCTATTGTGTGCCTTGCTCTTGTTTTGTATATATTTCTCCTGTTTGTTATTTGTTCCTGCCATCTTACTATTTCAGTTTTATTCTTACACAACTAGTGTGGAGCACCCACAATTTCATTGTACATGTGACAATAAAGGGCTATTCTATTCTATTGTCACCTTAAATTCATATTGAATATTTACATTCAGAATCAGCCAGAACCTCATAGATTTGAAATAAAATTTTTATATAGGGATATAACCAGAATACAACCAACTGGTAACCGTTTGTTTTGGTTTCCTTTTTCCAAAGGTTCCTTTGCTTTTCGTTATTCTTTTGCCCTTCCCTTTTAATTGTTCGTTGGTTTTTCTTCTTGTTGCTTCGTTATTTTTTCCTTTTTTTTTTTTTTTTCAATTTTTTTTTTCGATTTGTTAAAAGGGGACTTTTTTTTCCATTCCAGCTCTTCCACTCTGTGTTGGACGGCTACAGTAATGTGATCTCAGCCAGTCTGTCCTTACTGGGTTCCGGTTGGTGTGGCTTGTTGTCATGGCGTCCTGCCTGGATAATTACTGGTCCCAGCACTTTCTCTGCACTGCTGTTCCACATAAGCTTTGCTATATTTCGCCTGGTGTTGCTGTGGTTGGTCACTTCTGTTTTACTGAGGAACTACCGGCGTGCACGGGCAGAACTGTACCGCCCAGCAGTGGATCTCCAAGACTACGAGATGGTCGAACTGTTCCTCAGAAGACTCAAAATGTGGATGGGACTCAGTCGGGCTAAAGAGGTACAAATTCTAATTCATATCTACAGCTGTTAAGGACACTTTTTGTTGCTTTATTTATAGATTAACTTTTTCATATATACTATTGGAACAAAACAAAATCTGAATGCTTTACCCAAAATCGTATCCTGTTTTTTTTTTCTCCTTAGTTTCGCCACAAAGTGCGTTTCGAAGGTATGGAGCTCCCACCGTCCCGTTCATCCTCCACCAGCGACTGCAAGTCCCTGTGCTTGCCTCCTCTGGACAGTCCAGACTCCCCACCTACCCCAGACAGTGTTGATGCGGGCTCTGAGGCCTCGTGGCGTCCAGCGTCTTCCAGCCCCTGCAGCCTCACAGAAGCCCCGGGTATCGGCCTGGGACTTGGCTTGGGCCTTGGCTTGGGCCTTGGCCCAGGAGTGGTGGTGGGAGGTAACAGCTGGAGAGAGAGAGAGACGGAAGCTTCTCTGAGGAGACTCCTCCCCACCCTGGATGCTCTGCTGCAACAGCTTGACCGTGTCACTGTGACGACAGAGGATCTGTACCACATTGAGTGTAAACTGGAGCGAGCCCAGAGGAAAAGGAGGCGTAGAGGGAGGGAGAGAGACGATGGAGTTCAGGGATGTAGGAGCGAAGGGGGACAGAGAGGGGAAGGGGAAGCCTGGAAAGAACAAAAGCGTGGCAAGGAAAAGAACAAAGGGAGCAGGAAGGGGAAAAAGGTAGATAAAAGTGAACTTCCAAAAGAATGTGGGAGCAGTGCTGCCATCCCCAAAAAGACTCCTGTAGCTACACCCGTTCCCTTTTTGAAGCCCCGACCCTCCTCTGCTTCTACAAACCCCCCTGTTCCCCAGTTGTCTGCCAAACCTTCAATCAGTGTGCCTCCACCCACACCAGTCACAGATAAGTCCTCCGATTCTTCCTCTCTCCCCCTGTCATCAGCAAACACATCATCTTCCCATGTCCCGCCACCAAAAACACCTACAGCTCTTCCATCCACCCGTGCACCCACCCCTTCCCTGTCATCTACGCCCATTACACGCAACTGGGATCTTCCTGCAGAGAGAGAGACCCTCCCTTCCTCAAGCCTGTTCAACCACCCAGCTCACACAACCACGATCCCTACACGCAAACGGAAACGCAAACCCCCATCCCTCAAAAACAAAGTGCACCCAACTTAGATAAATATGAGCAGATCGGATGAAAGAAGTGAAAGGTGGAGAAAAAGGATGTGCACTTAAAATGATGGGTTAAGGACGAGAGGAGGCGCTCATGGGCAGCAGGTTTTGTCTTCAGATGCCACTCTCTAAACCCAAGGAAGGGACAGAAACTAATAGACGTGAAAGGATACAGGTACAAGGATGAGCTACAGGAAAGAATCAAGAAGGATCAAACAAGGAGTTTGGGGTACTGAAAGACGAAAAGAGCAATAAAATAAGACTTTGCAGGTTTATAAGCAGTGATCCGTCTCATTCCCGACTCAGTTCTCAAGGTGCAGGTCACCAGATGCTAGCTGAGCTGGTTAAGGGGACATAAAGTCAGCAGTGAAACCAAGAAGTTCCTTTCATTGTTTTCCCCGGACCAAAACTGCCCCCTGATCCCATGTGACCCTGGAGGTTACCTGGGGTCGTTGACAGGAGCGCAGAAAAGCGCTCACCATAAGACTCAATGAACTGAAAGCATTCTATGCAATCAGACTTTTGTGTATCTCAGAAAGAACGTGTGATTTCTCAATTATGTTACCTGTCTACATACTGTTACGTTTTCTATTTTTGGTCACCATGGGTACCTGTGGCCTGTCCCAAATTTGCATGCAGGCGCACACAGATATACGCACATGCAGGTGTACACATGTGTAGAAATAACACTGTAGACAACATATCAGCAAATAGGAACGTGTGGTACACTTCAGCCCACTGGGTTACAGGTGAAAACACACACACACACACACACACACACACACACACACACAC